GGTACAAAGTTGGGTAGGCTGGAGGGTACAAAGCTGGGCCCTATTGTTCGTGATACTTGTCAATGATGCTGCAGTGCATTGTTTCAGACCCGACATTTGGTGAGATCATTACTTTGCGGATCAATAATAGTTGTAATCTTACCTTCATGATCTCTCAGGATGGTGTCAACAAAATGATGTGCTACCTAAGCCAGCCATGAAAATGTCTCAGTACACGTATGATGAACATTTTTTTAAAACGTGATGTGCCAAAACCTGTGCTTTCAAATACATGTGTTAAACGTGACTAGCCTACATCAGGTTTCACATTTAAAATTACTGGGAATCATAATTCAGAATGATTTAAAGTGAATTTAGATATCTCTGGAATAGTCTCCTGAGCTTTGCTAAAATTATACATATTACATAATCTCAAAAAAGTCAGTGTTCCCACTACACACATACTGCCAATATCAGACCCATACTGGATTATGCATGCCCTGTATAGCATTCATCTGTCACTAAAGAGTAAAGTCATTCGATTGAAAAAAAAGCAGAAAACGGGTTTGTATGATAAATATAATAAATATACACTGACGTATTTTTGTTCCAATTATTTTTTTTCTTGATTTTCATGGCTGTACAAAATTGTCAGATTTCATTTTTGTGATTTTTTACACTAATGTATTTTGTGGTTATGCAGTAAATGTGATGTACTTTAAATTCGAAATTGCTGTAATTTTTCTTGTATATTAAAAACCACAGGTTTTAGTTTTTTTGACTTGCAGTTTGGTATTGTTAAACGAACTAATAAATAAACCATAATCAATTCTCGAAACGTCGACTATTAATCGGTTTTTCTTAAGTTAACTCGAAGTTTTTCTTAACGGTGAATATTGCATCGTACACTTGCATCTTCGAAGTGGTAGCAATCGTGAGAACCCCAACCCGAATGATGACAAGCGCCCAGATTAGTTTCATTTCCGGTACATCGCAGGTCATCCAGATGTATATGATCCCTTCCCTCTCCATGGTGTGCGGATTGCCATACCCTCTCGGCAGACTGGTACCCGAGCTGACGGCAGGCTACATGACCGTCAGGAAGGTCCCACCAATCATCGCATACTGTTCCCCATTCACCGTTGTAGTACACTTCGACTCTCCCTTCATTTGGGTGTGGTTGTCCGTTCTCCCCAACGAGCCGAATGCAGATTGCGGAACCTGACGCGAGAGGTGAATGGTTTTCATAGGAACGCTGCATTCAAGTGGGAAGTCCGAGTATGAACTGTGGACCTTCAGAATCAGTGGCGTATCCGGGGGGGGGGGCAGGGGGAAACTTTCCCCTGACGTATTTCTTCTCTTTTTTTTGTCCTTTTTACCGTACTTCATAATTATAAAGGTGAGCAGGAAAGAAAATAATCCGGATACTTATTTACAGTATGAGCACCAAAACCCTTAGAAAACAACACCACGAAAGTAAAGCCGAATGTCGAGACCGTAAGTAAGCCTTTTCATATTTTTTTTCTCTCCCAACATCATGTTGAATGAGCCAAAAGCCGCATTCGCTTTTGAACTTGCGCCCCTGACACCAAAAGCTAGATACGTCGCTGTCCAGAATCCAGCAGAATCCATCGAAGCACCATCTCTTCAAATCATGCATTAATGTGTTTCAAAAAGTACCCTCATTTGGAAGTCAACACCCCGGAATTTTGCCAGGATCGATAGTAACTAACTATTTGTAAAATGCACGACATTCTGTGTTTGATTTTGAGAGCGCCTCGGGGTTCGCCCCTAGGCATAAACCACACAAAAAAGAGGCTATACATATTGAATTGCATGCGGTATCCATAGTTGAACTATATGTTGACTGCTATTGGACGGAGTTTTTGACTCCGGTGATGGCGATTTGAGACAATAATCCAATTCTTTTGGCTCCGTGAGAAAACTCTCAAAAAGGTCACTACACTTTCAAATTAGAATGCGACACCCTTCACTGTTTGCGTGTTGCCCATGTGTGCAGAAAATGTACAATATGCATGAAATCTAGAAAAGTAGAAGGAATTCTGTTCTCACCTTCGAGGTCGAAAAAGTCCAGTATCGCTCCCAGATCGTCGGTGAACAGTGGACGGTCTGAGTAGAACGGTTCACGGGGTCTCGCAGGTGTCACCACATTGACGGCCCCGGCCCTGAGGCTAGTGCACAAGCACCGGCCCCCACCGGCGGTAGCAGGCTGCACAACGGCCCAGCGGAGTCTGCCCCCTTGGTTCGGGTCCGGTTCCTGGCCGAAGTAGCAAGGGATGGCCGCCACACCCAAGGATCTGACATGAACTTTTAGATTGGTAAAGGAGAAAATAGACTACGTAGGGTCTCCTTTTCACGAAATATGTCTTCAATTTTGTTTTTTCACCCACAGGTGAACGATTTTGTCTTTCTCTATATCAGTTTGGCTTCTCTGTGCATTTTTCTATCCTTGGAAAATCCACTTTGATATTATGCAGAGGCGAATCTGGGATTTCATGCCACAGAAACAAAGTCTGAATGGAAGCATGTTGAAACTGTTTGCCGATTGATTGCATTGGATACTTGATCACCCTCTTTCCGAAGTTTCAGACGAATCTGAAGGGACGAAATGGTTTAAATTCGGGTGTTGAAAGACTGCTCAAAATCACGAAATCGAATGACGCGCCGTGGTTAAATTTAAACGGAAGAAGATTTTTCCATGAAAATTGCTTTGAAAACATCTTGTTGACCATTTACTTTGTTTCAACTGATGAACGTGGGGGATCTCTCCGCCTGAATCCCTAAAAACAAACCAAAATTTCTTCCTGTAAAAGCTGGAACATCCATCTCATTCCAAGGCCTTGCTCATCGCTCTCCTTATCAGAAAAATGACTGTTTGAATACAATGAATAAGACTTTGTCCTACGATTTCGTGCTTTGTTATTTCCCAAACATTCTTTGAATATTAATACAAATCCTACAATATTCTCACGATAAAACACCCCCCCCCCAAAAAAAAAGTTACGTTGAAAAAAGATCATTAATCTAGACACTCGCCTTCCGCGTCTGTTCTATTTTTATGTGCATCGTTTAAGAGCCATGTTCTCATTTCGCAGTTGAGGAAAAATACATTTAATTCTCACCGCCTTACCGTAGGTAGCGATCCACACTGCTGCCAATACATATCTTGACATCCCTGCCGTGTCCTGTCGCTCTTTCCTGATGGCCTTCGTGAACTGATCCTCTCTGGTTTCGCCCGTTCTTGTTAAGTCAGGTTTTTGCCAGTTGCCTAGCAATAGGTCGGGGCGGTAACTTCCTTTGAGGCAAAGGCGCCCAGAATAAACGATATATCAGAGTGACTCTGAAAGGATTAGTTCTTTTGTGGAAAGGTGTATTGTTAATATTATTGTTGAAAACAATGCAATGTTGAGGGATGGCATGGCCATTGCATAGTTGCATTTTTGTTTTCAGAGCTACCGTACACTATAGCAATTAATGAGGAAACGGTCACTCAAGCATGATAAATATCATTATGCGTGGAGTAAGTGCATAAATCATAATTGGACCGACACAGCGGAGGTAGTGACACTGTAATAAAAAAAACTTTGATAACAGAGATAATTATCAAAGAAGTGAATCGCCAAGATCATCATTCAAAATCGGGGGAAGTGGTAAATTTGAGAATTTTCACGTTTCTGTTTTATCCTCAGGGGAATCCGTTCGCTCATTGTCATGACAAAAAACGGGACGAACTAATTTCTGTGTAGGCCTATCTCTCATGTAGCAGATTATAGTAGCCACATGATAATGTCTGGCTGTACGAGGTAGTTGATGTCATTTGATTGGCGCCAGTACTGTGTGCCGCTTATTCGTTCAAGTTAATTACTTTTAGCCTTTGGCTCTTTTTGGTCTTCTTTAGGTAGGTGTACACTCTGCACATGTCATTGTTGTCATTATTAGGACTAATTTTGCGCTGTACCGTAACTCCTTTGAAATGCTCCTTGAACGCCTAATGTAGCGTAAGAACAAACGAAGGGGGCAAAATAACGTACGTGACCTGTCTTGGTGTAACCTTTTCGCGCAAGGCAACCTCTGTCCGGTTCTTGGTAGCGTTTTGCTTCGTTTGTTGCTATTGTTGCTAAATTTACCCCCCTTTCGTACAGCGTCTATATTCAGCAATAAATTATGCCAAACAATCATCCCTTGTAGGGGAGAATACGTGGTGTTCACTTATTTGTAACACCGAAAGCTGATGAATTCCTGCTTGTCGGTTGTGCTCATTTAATTTCGAGTTGGGGCTCCCAAGAAGGATTACGGACTCCTCCCCAGGAGTAACCTACCAGTGCCGTGTGTACCCTCACTCTCCCCCCATGAATCCGCCAACCACGTACCAGCGGGGATTGTTCTTTGGGCAAAGTCCGCTATCGACTATTCATAGGTTATATGATAGACCTGAAGCATTATGTTGTCACGTGTGGTTTAAGTGTGCGCCCTCCAAAAGATCACTCTCATTTTGCATACAGTGTGTGGGCGGCAAATGTTTGCAGGAAAAAAACACACATTGAATTGGTTTTGATTTTCGATTTTACCTCAATTTCGTTCAAAAGGTATTTTCATTCCATTGAACGTTGTATTAGTATTTATTTCTATCTTTTGTTTTGAAAACTGCTTGGGATGTTGAACACATTTGTTAATATATGTAATTCTTTTACTTTGGCACTGACTGCCAGCCGTACGCGTGGTTTTAGCAGGCCAATAGATAGGAGAAATAGGCCCTACAACTACACGTTCGACGTAAAAGTTTAAGAGCAGACCCTTTGGTCAAATATTTTCCAGTAACCTGCGGGAAGCATTATTTTCAACCGCCTAACGAATGCATCCCCAATCAATTGATCAATATGGATCCACAGTCAATTTATTTGTATTTGGATTGACAAAAAGAACAGCAAACAAACGTACGGCAGCCAGGCACTGAAACATCACGTTGTACTGTACATTAAAAATTTTGCACTAGGCAACAACAGAGGGCGACCTACTTGTACGTATCGTGATTAGGTTCATCAGGTCAAATACATCATGGAGGTCGGTCTATGGATGTAATATATCGGTAAATTATGGGTAAATTTACAAGAAAAGTGGCTACTTGTTTGTTTTATGGATAGCCTAACAGCTTGCATAAAATTAGCATTCCTTTATTTCAGGGCACCTCTTCGTCATGTTCGTGTTTGACCACTTAGCCCCTGGGCCCTCATTTTAAAACGTAGGCATGTATGGAACTAACTTGGAAGGCATGAAACACAACCCACGAAAAGTACAAGCTGAGAAGACTGCAGTTACACCTCGCCAGACGTCGCTATATCATCTTTCCAGTATTTGATGAAAAGGCCATCCTCGGTGGCTTACACATGGAAGGGTAGCTAGTTATTTGCTGATACCTCATGAAAAGGAGCAAATATTGCCCCTCTTTCCTTCCCACAATGCCTTTCTGCCATTGTGCAAAACCACCCATGCCCATGATGCGGTATCAGCAATAAGGCTTATAGAATTCCGGAAAGATTTCTGTATACGGACAACAACACTTGAACTTGTGCCCCTGTGCTCAGACCTAGTAAAAAGACCCTACCCCCATGATAAGACTTGAACCCAAGTGTTTTCTCGGTAAATGCTTCTGAATTTTCTCACCTCCATGCCTACGGGTACATGTAAATGTCACTTTTTATGGCATGTTATCACTTCCTGGTGTCTGTGATAACATTTTAAGGGAAACTTACAATGTAGTTTGTCTGTAGGCTCTAGTACTAGGGGCCTTCATAACACACCTCTTCCTGGTTCTTTATCCTGATTGGCTGAAATACGGTCACATGTGGTTCACTATGTAGGCTACATGAATTTGGCAGCAGCGTGACTTGACATGTGCCTAGAGTGAGTAGCCTAGACATTGCGTGCACATATCAATTCCAGAGACTAGTGCCCAGTCAGGCACTAGTCTCAAAAATGTTTGACTGGTTATTGCACCCTCTGGAAGTTGTCCTGAAATGAAACAGTTCAAACCCTGGAAGATTTCTCTTCCTAGCTGTATACAGCAACTCAAAATTAGACTTCGTCCATGAAAACTAAAATGAACCTTCAATATTTTGGCAATTTTTGAAGTGTGATTGAAAGTTGAATTAAAAGAGTTAAAACCCAGACAGATTATTTTGCTAGTTTGAGTTGTGTTATAAAACACATATGGACTGGCCTAATTCGGTCACTAGTGCACGCCCATACCCCTCAGGCCTGTTAATGACCAGGAGAGAGTCCTATTTCCCTTGAACCCTCTTCTGGTCTTTCACAGTCCCTCAGGGACATAGAGGTGCATTAGTGACCTCATTGCTAGTCCATACATGTATGTGTATGATGTGGAACTCTTTCCAGAATGCCAGTATGGGCACAACTAAGTTTTTCCCTGGCCTACACAACACTACTGTCACCTAGGCCTGTTAGTATTAGCCATCTGAAAGCAATAATATGACCTAAAAAGTCAAACATTTCAGGGAAAATTTTGAGGTTTTCTTGTAGAAAATAGTTTGACCACTACCAGCGACACTCATATATAGATGTATATGTAAATATATGGAACTATTTCCCCTAGTTCTAACAAGTTGTGTATCACTATGGTATCACGGTCAACATATTCAGCATTGGAGTCAAGTCCACAATCTGCAAGGCCAAGACTGAGTCAATGCCATTCGAGGCCGAGGCCACAGTGTCCGATGCCAAAGCCAGTTGTTATGAGTTAATGTGTATCACACATGTACAGTAGCACATGTGCAATAATTAAGTAACGCTACACAATCGACAGTGATTGTCTCTGAAATACATGTATTTTAGTGCTGCTAACTGGTATACAAAATGTATCTAGATTCTTTTTTAAAAAAAACTGCATTGGGCATGATAAGACAATATTCTTTTTTTTTTGTTTTTGAAGAAAAACAAACTTAGTGCTGGGTTTCATTAATTAGTTACTTTCAATGTAAAATTGTGAACAAATTTGCGAACACATTTGGATGGATGTAGTTATCTCCAGTTTGGTAGGTGTTGTAAAGCTCATTTTTTTATTTGTTACTGCAAAGTAGTTTTGAAGAGGATGAGTTCCTCACTACTATAAAAAGAGAAAAATAAAAAGCCTGTAATTGCTCTGAATTCCTCAAAATAAATTCTCAAATTTTGAAATATGAAAAATAAGCATGCAAGAAAAAAGGCTTACATGCAGGCCATTAACCCCCAAAACAAAGTCGACTTGGAAAGCTGGAAGTTCACAAATAGTTGCATAGCTGCCAATAAATTCCTCAACCTGAACCACATAAACTTATGCATGAATGAAACCATTTTCCAAGAACTGAAAAGTTGGCGAGCTTTCTAAAACTGATTCTTGAAAAAGCACTGTACGGTGCCTTAGGCTCACCATGAATACACTGCATATGGAGAAAAATCATAAGGGGGGCAGTGTCCACTGTGTGTACAGTGGCATATGCAAAGTTATTGCTGCAGACGGCCATGTTAACTGGCCTCTGTGAGTACTTGCTCAGCCCTGGCCTTTCAGAGTGTTAGAAGGAACTTGCCAGACACACATGTGCTACATCTTGCACATATGAATGTAGGCCTTGTCCAAAACAGGTTTCCACAGCTACGGCTAGGTCTACTGTCTGCGCGTCTCCACGTACATGTACTTTCAATGGAGCGAAGACCTAGACCTAGCTCTAGACAACAGATTCGGATGCAGCCGTAGTTACAGGTACCACCCCTCAGAAATGGCAACTCGATGGCACTAGCGCAAAGTCTGCACTCAGTCTCAAAGCAAACTTAACCCAATGAAGCATACATGTGTTTGCGAGACTTCGCATCCTTGACCAGACCCTGCTGTTCCTTACCTTAGCCCAGACCTTGGAATCGCATTTAATTATTGATGCTTAACACGAAGGCCTATAAAGTGCCAATTACTTTGACAGCAACAACCTGGGGTCCTAAATTATTCATTTGGTCCATGTGTAGTACCACGAGAGGAGCAATATTCATAAAGTCAAGCTGAAAGGCCACATTTATGAATCAATCCACACTACTTATTATTTTTTTTTGTAATTGTGGAAAGAGTAATCCTCATTGAAATTTGGTGTACATTTCACTTCAATGAAATGAAATGGTGGTGAAATTTATATTCAGACTTGAAGAAATGTAGAAGTTACAGAGTGCCTCTTTATGATTCTAGCAAGCTTACAAAATGCATGCATCCACAGGTCAGGTTTTAAAAAAAATGACATGTTTGCTTGCTTGTCAGTTTCATAATGTGTGTTCTACATAAAAGCTGTCTTTTATTGTCAAGTACATGAATAATTATAAATTCCTCTATAAAGCTTTAAACAGCTCTTCTGTTAAATGAAGGTCAACTTCTCTAGGGAAAACCATGTTAATTTGCTGTGTTTCTATTATGTAATTTCTGGTGTGAAAGGCAATACTGACAAATCTCAGACCTCTCTACTCTGAATGCGGGTTCTTACTCTTTGAGAGAGCGAACGAAAATACGGATTTGTGACGTCAGATGAAACATTTCACACTGCACGTTTGAAAAATTGAACACCTTTCAACTCGAGCAAAATTTGGCTGCAAATCTTTTGTGACATCAAATTTGCTTTTCTTTCATATTTGTCTGTAGTATTAACCGGTCTTTGCTTCACTATGCATGAATGTCTTAGCTTGATTCTCTCATATTAAATGTTAACAGAGGTTAAGTTATAAAATTTTCTGCATGTGCTGCTTTATTTAAATTTTCACAGGTTTGAAATTTAAAAATCAACAGTGAATGCAGGAAGTGCCCAGAGGCTTCAAAATGGAAGAGCTTAAAATTGACAAAAGCAAGTTCAAACAGCAAGGACAGGGGAAGGTATACATGTATATATTTTGTATATATGTAATAAGGGTGTTATTGACCTGATGTGCCTTAAAACTTGTCAGAAAATTCCCGTAACTTCTTCTGTAATCTTAAACTTCCAAAAATATCTTTTATTTCTGAGGCTAGTGAGTAGAGTGAGTGAAACCCTAGAAGAGCCGGGGGGGTTACATTTATGCTCTCTGTACATACTCTCTGATATCCACACAAAACTTTTTTCGTTGTGCCAAGCCATTAGGAGTTGTTTTCCTGCAAAATCTTGTGCTGTCATTTTACACCAGTGTTATAGAATCAGACACTCAGTTTCACAAGATGCCCAATTTTCCAAGACGGGTACACCTGCAAAAAAACCTGACTATGTATGTCTGATTGAACTGAATCTTCACAGACATACTCATAATGGGTGTCTTGATATACTTGCGAAGTTTCAATACACTTGGTGAGAGAAGATTTGAAAAAAGTCCCTTGTTAGGGTTTCTGTCTGTGATGCTGAGCCTGGGAATCGAACTTCTAAAAGGGATGAAGATAAAATGTCCTAAGCAGCCTCTTATCTTTTTTGACGCAAGTGCCTATCATTGGTAAAAATCACTTGGATTCATCATTTAACCTTTGTTAATCGGGGTGATTTCTGAGAAAGGACAGCATGGCTACATCTATTTACAGATTTAATATTCTTGGAATGACGTACCCGGGCTGAGTGCATATCTTCCAGCTGTGATCAAAGGGGTCAAAGTTCACATCTTTAAATAACTTAGCATTACAGGCAAGTCTGTTATCAGACCCTTCATGTCACCATGTAAATATACTACCCAAATATGGAATTGTTTTGTGCTGTTAACTACGGCAGGAAAACAATAATGAGATATTTCCCTGGGACTAAAAATTCTTCCTCAAAGACACTTTTGTGACATTGTTTTTTTGCTGTGCTAACATAAAGGTTATCATCTGAAATTCAAGGTAGACAGCAGAACTTGAGTTGTTATTTTATCCATTTTTGAGGTGGCCAGAGGATAATGCATGCCTCCCATCAGAGTGACAAAAACTGTACACATGGCACCTAAGGCTGGACTTGTGTTATTATGGCATGATCTTTGCTTTTGTCCTCAGAGTGACTGGGGAGAGGAACTCCGCCAGAAAATGGAGGTGAGAATCACTGGAACAGAATGGGTCCCTGTTGATGCGAATTGCCCATGCAGGTCTGTACAGTATACGAGGTTGCAGCCATGAAAGTTGGGTCAGACCCAGCAGTTCTCAATTGAGCTGTGTGGAGTTCTATCTGAATGCACTTAACTACTGAAGGATTGAAAGTGGTCCGTGAGTGCCATAGACTTGCAGGCAATAACAAAGTCTAGTCACAGCCTCACAGCTTGCTCACTAAGGTACAGGGTTTTAGAGCATGTTCAACCTGTGCTGCATTACCCCAGACACACAGAGTCAGCCTTATGAATAGAAATATTCACAAATGCATGAATATGTACTTTAGACGTAAGCCAATTGGACTATAAGCTAGATCTTAGCAAAGCATAAACAACCAGTATCTGGGAATCTTTGAGGCCGTTGGCTGTCCTTATACATGTATGCAGGATGTGGTGACAAAATCGAGGGCAGGTTTCCAGTCTGCGTGCCTGCATTCCAGTGTGACCTCTGATCTAAGGAATTTTTTGTATTTCCTCATGCTTGTCCTCGCAGTCATACAACGCTTCCAAGACGAAATCTAAAGAAGAGCCAGCACCCTCCACAATCATTTTTAGCCTGGACAACACTCTCAAGGGGCTTTCCCAAGTTGTGTGCATACTGGAGGTAGGTGGGGTCCTTTCTTTCCAGGCTAGTGTCTTTTGAAGCTACAGTCCTAGACAAATCTCGTTGGAGCATGCCTCCTCCTCGCCCCCTGTCAATGGTGTTTCTCATTGGGTAAGCTGAGCTTAAGGTTGGTCCAATAAATTAAAGTCAAGAATTTTCTGCTTTGCGGAAAATCTGCAAAAATCGCAGATTTGGGCGTAGAAAGCGGAAAATGCAATTCTCGTAAAAAAGATATAAATAAATAAAACGAATGTTTTGATCAATTCTGCACAATTAATTAAATAAATATGAACCCAAATTAGGAATGACGACTCATTTTCACCGTTAAACTCACTTTGAAAGTAACATTTGGTAGCGTTTCCCCTCCTGTTTTTCCTTTGTGATATCGCAGAATTCGGTATTGATTTCCTCTGGCTCCGCACCGCGGAGATCACACACTGGTATATTAGTGATGCCAAAGGAAGACCTGTCTTCCTTTAGCATGGAATAATCTTGATTGGAATTTGAAGGTCCTCATCCTATCAGTAATCTAACAAGCATTCAAGTATTTGGTCTGGAGAATAGGCAGTGTGGGTATGACGTAATTCCCTTTGCCCCAACCAGGAAAATTTGCTTTAGTGTCATGCGATGTGCATCGTTTGCGATTACTTTTCAGCTGATTTCTGCTCAGGTTTTTTTCTAAGGTTAGTAGCTTCAGAAATATGACCTTTGTGATGGACAGAGCACTCACTGTCGGAAATACAGAGTACCGGTTCTTTTCAGACCTGCACACATACTCACAAAAGAGATAATCCACATGGTGTCTCTGCAAACCCCCTACCTTATGACCCTGGTCCTCAAACAATCCCCTCGCCAATTTTTTGCAGAAGCAGAATGTCGCTCTGCACCACATCGAATCCCGCTCCTCCTTGTCCGACCCTGAAGCTAAGGAGTTCCTGGCCGTCCTGGAGAGTGACAAGGCTAGTGAGGCCAGGGTGATGGACACCTTAGAGCTGCTGAAGGAATGTGTGAAATCACTGGAGGTTGTGGAGGGAGGTGAGAATGATACAGGTAAGGAATGTGTGCAGGCTTTAGAAGGATGTACCATAGACCTGACTTTATCAGTGTGTGTGAGGACATAAATTGACCTCGGAGAGTCTTAAATTGCTTAAATTGTTTGAAATCACTGGAAGTTGTTAAGGGAAGTGAGAATGACACAGGTAAGGAATATGTCCAGGCTGTAGAAGGATGTACCATAGACCTGACTTTATCAGTGTGTGTGAGGACATGCATTGACCTCAGAGAGTCTTAAATTGCTCAAATTGCTTGAAATCACTGGAGGTTGTGAAAGGAAATGAAAATGACACAGGTAAGGCACTTTGCTAGTATTGCCTTTCACTAACACAACCTTGTGTAATTGTATTCTGCATGTATATGAGGACATGCAATAACCCCAGAGATTCTGAGCTTGCTCTGGTTTGCCCTTTGCTGGTTCTACCTTTTGGAGACCTGACGTTGTAGTGTATTTGTATGTGAGGACGTGTGGTAACCTCAGAGCTTTTGAGCTTGCTCCGACTTGTACTAAGCTGGTTCTACATAGCACAGACCAGACCTCATGCTACACACGCACAGTGCTTGAGGACATACACTGACCTCAGAGCTTCTGAATTTGCTCTAATTTAAACTTTTTAGTCTGATTGGCCCTGCTCTCAAATTCATGGACACCTGGTCAAGTCCATCACAGGTTCAGTCACGAGTAAATGACAGATCGTATTGCAAATCACACCTTGATTAAAACAGGGAATGAACTTATGTGCTTCATTTAAGTAGTCTGTGATATGACTTTGGACTAGATGCTTCATAATTGACTTATGATGCCTTTACAAGAAAGTTCTTTTACATGACCTTAACTCACACTGAAATATTATCAGATAAACAAAATTCAATTCCAACTGCGAAAGAATGGATTTTTAACTTTTTATTTTCTATTTTTTTTTTTTAGTTTTGGGGGTACATGTAGGGCTGAGTCAAGTCAAATAATTCACTAGTCGAATATTCGACCTTCAATTCGATCGAACATCCGAAAATTTGGTCGTACCAGCCGGCAGATTGTTGATGAACAAACCATATACAAACTCAGTTGCAATAACGGATACAATTGTATATTATAATAATAGCATCTCACATCTAGGAGTATCTCCAGCTACGATTTAGCAAGATTTAAGACGAACAATACTTCTTGCCCTGTTGAAAATTTCTAAATTGTGTCATGAATAATTTGCTTTTTGATTCATTGTAAGATTTCTATCACTTTTAATTTGAATCTGCTTAAAACAAGTCTCCGTAGTGCAATTTTTCTCATTTAAAAAATTCCCTGTTCCTTTTCATAAATTCTGCATTCCAATATTCAAATTTATAAAATGATATTCCAATATTCAATAATCGATCGAATATTTGGATATTATTCTAGTAAAATACTTTTGATTGAATTAGTGAATATTTGGGCCACAAGTCTTGGCTTTTGGTACATTTTTAACCCGAATTGAACGTACACTTATATTGTCGTAAAATGGAAGTAAGCCAATTTCCTTGCCCTGGTTGAGACCTGACTTCTTGGTTTTATGCTGCAGTCTGGTTCCCCAGAACTCTGGAGGAGATGAATCCATGCCTAACTCGGCCGCTGTATTCTGAACTAGAACCATCTCACCCGGTGAGTTGCCTATTCCCTTCTACACCTTCTACACCCGCCGGTGTCTTCGACATTCAATTTGTTAACGGATTTTGTTGGGGGTATTAACTGGTCTTTGCTTTAAGCACATTTTTTGACAGCTTCCAATAAAATCACATTTGGAAGTAAAGATTTTGTCTGTGTCATGTTCATAAAGTGTGGTGTCCAGCTCTGTGGCAGTGGACACATTTCTTACGAAGGCATGCAGGTTGCTGACTTTATCAACAGCTAGCACACCGCTTGTGTAAATATTCCTATAAAGTTGACAGTTCAAGCGTGTTTATAATGCATCCACACAAGGGCCAATCAGAAGCATTGCACTTGCACTAGAACTAGCTACCAGTCCTAATTTATTTTGGGGGGAACGGAAACCAGTTTAAAATAGGGCTGGATCAGAACAAGGCTGGAACTGTGACCCAGTGTATATTATTTTCAGTGTTGTATTTGAGTCTATCACAAGTCCTTTCTCCAGTCTCTTCACAAGGCCAGTCATAAGTAACAGGGTGGACAATGACCAGAGAATGCTTTTGTCACGGCTCACTTGAATAGCTTGTGAATGGGCTTAAGACTGAATGACATGTGATGGACTTACAGGGACTTGTGACGGGACTCAGCTACAACGCTGATTGTTTCATCAAGTGAGATCAGATTTGCACCAGCTGCAGTCTGTGTTTCCAACTTAGAACACATCTTCTATAAACTATTTTGTGGCGGGATTGTAATGGCTTGGTTTGAACTTCCACTCCCATCAGGGTGCTAAGGATCCTGAGTACCAAGCTCTCCGCAAGATGTGTTGGAACATTGCTCACAACTACACTATGTAAGCACACACCTGTCAAAAGTACCCACCTTCACTGATTTGCCTGTTGAATGTCTGTAACTGCTTAAACAGTCCGTGTTTGTGATTTTTGGCTGACTGACACGAAACCCCATAAAAATGTGCATGACAGAATTTGATTGCTGCTTTAGATGGAATTATTAACCAATATATACCAGCCAAGTAGTACAAGTTGTTATTGGCTAATATTGATCCGACACTGCTTTTCTCCGTTGAACGTTTAACCCTAACTTCCAAGGCATCTCGATAACGTGTCCGAAACCAAAATCCTCAGCCAGTGCACAGGAAGTTAATGGCATATGAACGACCCGTTATGGGTTACTGGGCTCCATTTCCTTGATTCTGCTGAATATACCCTGAAAATGCTCTTTGGATTTTGACGAATCTGAGAGATTTTAAGACTGTGCATCTGTGTAAATATTTTCATAGCAATCAATGTTGATTCATCAGTCTCCATTTGTTGATGAATTAATATATTATTGATAGTTTTAGATTTTGATGTTATTTCCCAACATTATCTGAGTTTGCTTTTGCCCTAATATTTACCCCTTCCCCAGTGGCACCCCAATCCCCGTCATTGAATACACTGAAAGCCAGATCAAGACGTTTGGCGCTATCTACAGCAAACTGAAGATCCTCTACCCGACCAACGCCTGCAAGGAGTTTAACGAGATCTTCCCAGATCTCGTCAAGGTGGGGCGGCTGCATTTTCGACAGGCTTTGCAGAGTCTAAGTTTCCCAGAGTTTGAGGGCCAGTTGTGTCGCTAACCTGTTCCATTTTAACTCTCGCTGTCTCTGAGTCTGAGGAGCTGCTCATTGTTTGTTTGCCCTCTGTATTCTGTGAACATCTTGATCCCTTTACAAATGAGTACTACTTTTTCCCTGGATTTACAGTTGAACATCAGTTTCAGGATGTGTTCAACATATTGAGAAGGATGTCTGTATTAATGGTTTTTAGAATCATCCTTCAGTAATCAGTGAAATTCTGGTTACTTCTTCAACTCTTGCCAGCATGGTTGTGTTAAATGTTTAGAACTCTGTGAAAAAGGCCTGCAACCTAATCTTCTTCTGCTAGCGGTGTCATCAAAAATCCCTGAAGAGTCCCTCCCAGGATAAGTCCAAAGGGATGTGGGTAAACATATTTGAATCAACCCTGAGGGACTAATTTCACAGCAAGGCAGTACTTGAATGAGAATGTAAGGGATGAAATGTTCACAGTGGTATCACCACAGCAGTAGTGTGATTCATGTGGTAGAGGATCTAAGTTTGGTAGAGACGAGCAGCAGCAAGTTTTGCGTTGCGGATACGTTGACATCCAGAAATGCTGCAGAATACATATTTTGCATGGAACTTCTGTACTTTTTGCTGCAAGTAGTTACATTGAAAATATGAGGACTAAACGGCCCAATGTACTAGTGTGTTGGTGTATCTACCTTTGCAGGAATGCAACATTAGTGAAGACCACATACCCCAGATGGAAGATGTTTCCCAGTTTGTGAAAAGTAAGTCCAAGCGCATTGAGTGTCTTCCCTTTGCTCCTGCTGTTGACAATGTGTCGTGGACTCTTTTGAAACGAGGAAGTTTGTCTGTCCATTTGGAGCATTTCATTGGCAAACATAGCAGAGATTCCAACCGGAACATGTGGCGTTCTCGTTTTTTTGCCATGCTGGTTAACCTGGAGGGCAAATTGTTTCTTTCTTGTCCTTCGAGTGTCCCTGTACTCAGGCTGGAGAGGCATTGTAGATAGGGGTTCGGTTTGGAAAATTTCGTTCATACGAGGAATGTCAAATGTTCCCACAATGCTTTTGGCCCCCACAATAACTGTTGTTGAGGAGTTGTGTACTCTCCAACACAGACATGAAAATTTGTGTGTGCATGTGAACAAGCCATCAGTTTTCCCAAAGTATCGCATGTCAACTTCATGTACTTGTAATTTTATTTGGGTTGATTGTGACGTGTTACAGATGTTTATAATTTTGAGGTCTCATATGTCAAAGGTCCGTCCATAATTCAAACAAAAATAGCTTGCCGTCATATATACATGTAACTCAAAAAAGGCTGGCCTTATCAACCTCAAGTTTTGTATGCTTTTTGGCTGGTTGACTTTCTCATCTCTTCAATCATTTGGATACCAGTTTAAGTATCTGTCCCTGCATTTGTATTCAGAACGCACAGGGTTCGTGCTCCGGCCAGTCTCGGCACTGCTGTCTGCTAGAGATTTCCTGAGCGCTCTGGCTTTCCATGTTTTTCCAGCGACTCAGTACCTGCGTCACCCCTCCAGCCCATTCTACACGCCTGAACCGTAAGCCTTCCGTTCATACATTTGAGGTGCGTGATTTACAGCGGTGCTTCCTCACAGCGGTGTCGCACGTTTCCTCGTGAGCATTGAACAACAAAATTCTGTCGTTTCCCATTCTCTTGTCAAGGACAGGCTAGTGTTCCCCTCAACTGGTGACCAGTTTCACATGACCAGTCACAAGTAACAGTGTGCACATTTTTTTAATAGCATACGACATCCCAGCAATGTTACAGCTTGCAATAGACTTGCGAGGAATCTGGGATGGATTAGACTACAGTATCGCCTTCAACCGAGCTAAATTTCACTCAGAGTAAAGATTACCGAGAGCTAAGAAGATCAAAGAGATGGACGCCAACAAGACAAAATATAAGCATGGCAGATTAATTGTGGTGGGTAATACTGAATACAATTTTTCTAGAGTGTCGATTCTTTGATGTACTTCCATTGGTTGGTTGCTTACAGAGACCTTTGCCATGAACTGTTGGGACACTGCGCGCTGTTGGCCAACCCCGAGTTTGCCCAGTTTTCACAGGTGAGTCAGTCCAACAAAAAAAAGAGCTAAAAAAGTGGACAAAAAACAGGCGAGAACTGTTACAAGAAGTTGGTTGTTGTTTTTCCGATGCTGAACTTCAGTAACAGTCCAAAGCCGTTTGAGTTTCTTCTCAACAGCAGTTTTGCCATGTTTTAACGCATTGGCCTATGAGTTTCAGAGCAGTAATTCATACCGGAGTATGTTTTGCCTTTCCATACCTTTCACGGTCCCCTGTGCGTTGAGCTCAGTTGGTCCCGGTGCCACGCAGTACTGTTCTCTACACGTGTCTTACTCCACCCTTGTTGACGTCTGTGACATTCTTTGTTACACCGACAAAATAGCCTTTCAAATTGCTTCATGTTTTTACCAGAAATTTGTCATGTTGGGAATTGAGCGAATGAATGAATGAAAGAATGCATAATTTGCTGATAGTACCACTCGTTTGAATAGGTTTTTCCTTCTTTTTTTTTGGTCTTTCAAGAAAGACTCTGCCACGTTTAAAATGCCAGTCCCTTTTAAAAGTTTTGTCAGTTTGTCAGGGTGTTAGTTTATTTGTGGTGATTTGTATGGTTTCTTCATTTGGCTTGTTCATTGTAGGAGATTGGTCTTGCCTCACTTGGTGCTCCCGATGAATACATTGAGAAGTTAGCGTCGGTAAGCCCTCTGCATTTCAATCATTGTACAAGTTATGTGACTAGTAGTATGAAGTCATATATACAAATAGATCATTTGGGAAATATTTTGTGGTAAATTTTTCAGCATTAGGGAGACAGTGGCTTTTAGGGAGACATTTCAGTGTCTCCCTATTTTCAAACTACCAGAAGGAGGCCGAATTTTACCGTTCAAATTTTGAGAGATGATAGATTAGGGTCTAAAATGAAAACATGCAAAGTTTGGTTCAGACCAGATTAGGGAATATTGAATTATGAGACAGTAAAGTTGGACAAATTTTGTGCACGTTTTTATGGGAATGTCTCCCTAATGACCCATTAGCGGTAATATAAATTTTTATTATTCTTTCAAGGAAAAGAAAGTTGTCATTACGCCCTGACCGTGTGTCGGTATTATTTGTGAAATAAAAGTATGCAGCAAACATTTGGCAAAAGTATACGTAAAATTCAGGAGCCAAAGGGAATGATATAAATAAAGATGACTCTTATTCTTCCACTGTGTGACTCTGAACTGACTTTCTCACAAGAAAAACCATTGGTTTCCATGGACCAAAAGCTTCCAGAGGCATTACCCTGTCAGAGCCTTTCAAATCTTTACTCGGATGTTTTGGTCTATCATCAGATCAAGGGTGAAAAAACAGGTCATTTTTACTTTCATACATTGGTCTTAGGGTATGAACACACAAAATGTCTTTACAGGTAGATTGCGCGATTCTCATACTTTCAGAGGGTTTCTTTATCCTCGATATCACCGGACATTTTGGTTCAGGTTTACTGGTTCACTGTTGAGTTTGGTGTCTGCAAAGAATCCACCGGCAGGAAGGCCTACGGTGCTGGCCTGTTGTCCTCAGTCGCTGAGATTCAGGTGAGGATTCCTCAATAGTTCGCCAGGCACTAGAGCTTACAAGCCTGAAGAAATCTGTCGAGAGGAGACAACAAGAGGCAATTGTTCTTGTAGAAATTGGAGGAAAACCCCTGAAAAATCTGGGCAAAATTCATAGAATCAGACCGAAACTGAAAACCCAATTTACATTTTGTCCTGGGTGGGGTTCAAACCTGGTCCTCGAGATAAAAGTTGAGTAAGAAAACCCCTAACATAAGAATCATCAAATTTGTAGTGCTTAAAGGCTGGTTCATACTCGATGCAAATTTGAATGCAGAGCAAAGCAACTGAAATTGCCTCATAACGTTTGATGCAAAATGAAGTTTAAATGTGTTCGCTCTTGCCCAGTTTTGCATCAGTGCCGACATTTTCTTTTTCATTGAAGAATCTGGCCTTAGTCTAAATAGGCTTTAGATTGGCAGTATATTCCATGTTCATTGTGCATACGGGTAATCAGATCAGTTTGAGTAGCTAATCACAAATTATTGGTGGACATGGAAAGAAAAAGATATTCCAAAAATATTTTTCCAACCGCTGAAGATTTGAAAGAGGGCAAAAGGAAATAAAACACAGGGAGGCACTATGTGATAGCCTGCTGTTTACAAGAAGGAAGATTTTGCCAAAGAAAATGACAAAGGGGTAGTGCATCCTTGAGATGCCCCTCCCCCTAGCAACAGTCCTCGCATCTTTATGATTTGACCAGTCAGGTTTCTGGTAGCCTGACAATGAATATACCTCAGTTGAAAGCGACTCCCAATCGCTTTCTTATCGCCAGTATTTCCTGACAGACGAGCCCAAGGTCAAACCGTTTGACACCAGCACAGCTATCACCGAGTCGTACCCCGTAGAAGGGTTTCAGACCACCTACTTTCTGGCCGAAAGCTTCTCCGATGCTTTGCAGAAAATCAGGTCAGTCTGTGCTGAATTACACAAGATGGTCGTATGATTGGTTTTGTGCATGTATTATACAGGGCGCTGGATTGGGAAGGTAAGCGTACATTGACCTGTTATCCACTTGTTCCTCTTCACCATTGTGTGGGTCCTAGCCTTCATTTCCGTTCCCCTCCAAATCAAGTCTGTATTTATATTATTTATATATCTGATTATCCAATAGCCCATTTAGCGCCAATTACAGGATGATAATGAGTGAAGAAGACAGTGAAGACATGTTCAGTTTTGGAGACGGGAGGAAACCCCCGGATAAGTATTTCGGAGAAAACCCACAGACTTAGGTTGAACCCTGGCCCGCAGAGGTGCAAGGCGAGGAAAGAAACACTACGCCAACGTGACTCCCAATAAAACCAATTAAACATAATAACCCCCCAAAATGGCAAAGGACACATGCTTTGTTGTTGATATTAACTGGCTGTGCCTTGCTCAGTCCTGTGTAATCTTTCAAACACCTTGCGGCAGAGATTGAAGGATGTGGGATGGTCAAAAGACTGCTTGATTGCTGCTTGGGTGATCATTTTCAAATTCTCCTTCAGAGCCTTTGCTGCAACCATTCCGCGTCCGTTCACAGTGCGGTACAACCCCTACACACAGTCCATCGAGGTGCTGGACAGTAAGGAGAAATTACTGAAAGTGGCTGAGCAGCTGAACGGTAAGACACAGAACAGTTCTCTACAAGAACATGTAGAAGCTGAAACAAATGTTTTCTCTTTCCATTTTGCTGATACAATGGAACGCCGCTATAACGAACACGACGGGGTCTGCTAAATGTTTGGTACAGCGGTTGTTTGGTATAGCGAAATTAACTGCCTACCGTTTCGTTGCCATGTGGAATAGCACCCTCCCTTGTCTGACTGAAGTGCGCCCTCTTGTGATACTGTGGCTCACTGTTTTCGTGATTTTTTGACGTTGCATTCACGTTTAAGGTTTCTAGAAATGTATCTGTTAATTATTTTTGTTGTTTATTAAATTTTGAGTTACAAAATTGATGTCGAGTTTATTCAGGATCGATCTCTGATGCATACTGTGGCGAATCTTGATTGATTTGTGTATCAGCGGCGCCCTCTTTAGACTATTGTTAGTGCAATGCCATGGTGCACGTGCGGTTTTCTTCCGCACCCAATCATGCGGGGTCGCAAAACCAGTGTCCATTCAATACCGTTGACAACTAGTGGCTTTCCCTTCTAATCCTTGGGGAAATAATGGCCACTTGTCACTTTCCAACATAGAAAACACCGACTGTTTTATCAAATTAACGTTCGGGAATTACAGACGGCAACTGCATAGTGTTCGGTAGGTTCTCTGCACAAAATATTGGGAGCCAAGGACGATGTTCAGTACTGCCAAATGTTCGGAATAGTGGTGTTTGGTAAAGCGGCATTCCACTGTACCTGCAAATACCTAGTAGTTGAATTACCACAACAATTTTCTCATTGTAGTTTGCAAAGAAGTTCTACGAAGCGTCAACCTCTCGCATCAAGCTTTGCATCACACCTTTCCTCTACTTTTTCGTTTGGGAGTAACCTGAATCCTCCAAATTCCAGCATATGCACTTTGATAATAAAAATGAACCTGATCCCATCTGCACTTGTAACGCTTGATCATCGTCTTCGCGTTGAAGCAACCCCTCAGTGGCAAACAAGAGATAGATGGGAATCGTTTCATCTGGGCACTTGGCACACAAGCGAAAATCACACATTCCAAGAGGAATTGGTCATGCCAGCTCAGCGTGTGCCCCACCCATGCACCTGCACATGGTCAGTTCCAACTAAAGGGCCGTTAGCGTTAATGTGCATCACGCCATCTCTTGTTTCCACGTGGATTGCTTATTCTGCCTGAAATTACCGCAGGTGCTATTTTTTTTAATATCGGCATTGTTTAATGTGAACACGACGTGGATTTTTTGTAAATGGATGACACCCCCCCCCCGGTCCGAGTCGACTGTACATTTCACTAACTTTATTTTTTCTTCTGTCCCATTCATTCCCAAGGTGAGCTGAACCGACTGATGGACGGAATTCTCAAGCTGAAGTAAATTGCACCCTGCTTGCATTGAGAGGATTTCGCAATATTAGCGCCGCCGATTCTTCAAGTCTTTTCATTCTCATCTGTAAGCTGCTTAGGTGAAGTGGGTTCGTTATTCCGTTTCTAATAGAGTGAAAATACTTGAGGTTCCAAAGATCAAAGATGTAACGAGACCAAAGGTCTCTGTCGGATCACTGAAACTTACCAGAACCGGGGGGGGGGGGAGAGCCAACAAGTTGGTGACACAGCCAAGGCATTTAGATGAGAGTTTGTTTGGTTTCCCAAGAAGTGTATTCATGTATGGCTTTTATAGAGGGTAAAGTCATTTTGCCAGCTGTGCAATACAGTGTGTATGTGTGCTTTTTATTTACTCCCAGTGATTGCTTGCCAATATTACTTGGCATTAAGGAGAATAATGATTATATTTTGACTCTGCCATTCGACGATTCTGACAGGTTTCAGCAGGGCTTTTGTGTTTTCCAATATATGTTGGATTTCTCTCTTGATATTTGTGGGTTTTTTATTGTTTATTTGGGGAGATGATGGGACTGGGATGAGACTGCACTTGTCATTTATTTTTCTACATTGGTCAGCATTTGACTTACCAAGACTTTGAAACTGTCTTACCACTTGCACGGACCTCCATGCGCATTACAGGGCAGTGTTTTTTTTTTTACTTCAGAAAGGTCAATTTTTCCTTTATTCAGTTTCAGCCATAACAGCATTAAATACGATCCACTCAGCTTTTCAAACTTTTTCTGTTCCAAATTTAAAAGCTTGACAAGTTTGACTTCTTGCTGACTAGTGTAGATGTCTTTAATGACCACTCCAATCTTTTCAAGAAATCCTTATGAAATGTTGACAAGCGAAGGGCCAGGCATTGGTCCTATTTTAATGATGGGTAACAGAGTAATCACCGCATGCATTGCAGTGCAATTTATTTATACATTTAGATTTAAAAATGGAAGAAAACATTTACTTTCTTTTTTTTAATCAACATTTTTGCCGATACTGCAAAAAGAAAATTGTTTCATCTTTACAATTATGTAAGATTCTTTTTTTTTTTCTGCATGATATTATGAAGTTTACTATCATATTACATCGGTGGGGTTATATTTTAATTTTTATTTTCTTACTGGTATTGCCAAAGTATCTGGCTTTCTAGATCTTACTCAGCATTACTAATGATATTATTTTCTTAATACTTGTCATCTGATGGCTCCGTTCACCAGAGCATTTGCGTTTACTAACAAGTTGGATTTCTCTCTTCCTGAGATGTCAGGGGTTTTGAATGATTTGTTTGTGGGGTGCGGTTGTAGGGTAGGGATAGGACAGCATCCGCTGTTCATTTATATTGGTTTAGGTCAGGATTGACTTCCATTCTGAGATTGGAGTCTGAAGCTATCTTATCAATGCAGAGTGGGTCCTTGAGTGGGTCCATGAGTGGGCACTGTAGGCCAGTATTTATCCATTTCTAGAAAGGTCCACATTTTTGGTTTGGGGAAATTCTAAATTCAGTTTCAGCCATGACAGCGATAAAAAGCAATCCGTGAGTGATGATCAAAAGGTGGTTTCTTCAACAACGCCAAAAAAATATACAAGTTAACTCGGGTGAAATACATGCATGAACCCACGACCTGCTTACGAGTGCAGATGCCTGAACGGGCTACTTGAATCTTTACAAAATTTCTATGCGGTTTGGGCGGAGGGCAAGTCAAATGTCAATTTAATTTTATAATAAGGTAACTATGGTTGATACAATGAATTGCTTAACTTTTATGTTCCAATGCATTTAATGTATACAGTTGTTTAGAAAATGGAAAGAAAAACTTTACTTCATTTTTTTTTTATTTGCAAAGAAAATTGCATCACTTTACACAACTTTATAAAATGTATTCATAAAGTTTACCCATCATTGGTGGAGTTTTCCCAAACCTTGACTTTGAAATATTTTGCTGATAAATTTATATTAACCTTTTCGTATGTATTTTGTGGGATATGTTATCCAGTTGGATATTTTCTGTACCAGATTCTATTATCAAGATCATATGCATTTCTGGAAAAGTTGCACGGTGGCTTTACTTTGTGTGGCTTCAAGGGGTAGTACCAATGAATTTGTGTACAGACTTTCAAAAAGCGCCGTTTGCGTCTCAGTTAACCTGATTTTTCGACTTTTGTTTCATTATTTCAGAGGGTATTTTGCAGGTTTTTTGCTTTTTATGCTAATGAGTATTTCCATATTTGTGAGCAAAACTGTGATGTCATCCCAGGAAGAACGCCTAAATGTTACGTTGGTTTGCACACAAAAAGCCATGCATATTTTGTAGATTTTTTGCTGGATTAAATTTTTCTCTTTGCTGATTTATTGTTATGTGCAGAGCAAGAAGTGAGTGCCAGTGCTTTTCTCAGCAATGTTTCCAGTAAGTAAATTCAGGGTCCACAGTTTTAGAACAGAAAATAGAAACGATAGAAAAATGCAGGTATGTCTTGCATGGATGTTGTCACAGCAACAGCGCCCTCAGTTGTCTAGGAAGACATGGATAAGTTTGAGTGTTTAATTAAAAAGGGCACTTTTCACTGCATTTAACCAAATGGAATTGTAAAAGAGAGTTGATACATTGAAGAAGAGTGCAAAGTTGAACTATTGTGTCTGTGAAATTCATTGCGGCTACCCTTTAAGTAACACATATTCTACACTTCTGAAAAGTGCTTGTTTAATAAATGACTATGCTGCTGCAATTAAGTCAGTGTTCATGTTTATAAAGAGTGCTCTGTCCATAATGTCTATGTAATGTTTGGTTGTGTGGGTGGCAAAATGTGTTGAGTGAATGAGTTTTCAGCATGCTTTTGTGACTTTCTGATTTAAACTTGAAAAAGAAATGGTGGACATGTGAGTGACTGTATAATCTTAAAATTGAAGTTCAGCTTCTCCCTGTCCACGCATGTTGGAGTTCACTTACCTCAGCTGTGTTTCAAATGAGGTTGGTGTACATTGTATGATTTATTTTTTTGGGGGGGGGGTTCAGTTTTATTCGGTTCTTTGTGGTTTACTTTGAAATGAAATCTTTCCAAACTTCTCTATATTGAAGGGAACCTACCGTCAATTTGCTTCAATATAAACCTTCGAAATGCAACTTTTGTTCCTCTTTTTGAAAGGGTATTTTACTGCCTTTGGGTTGTTATGCTGATGAGACTTGCCTCGACATAACATTGGTTTGTTCACAGAAAGTCCTGCATGTTTTTAGATAATGTCGGACTTAATATTCTGCTTGCTGATTCATTGTTGTTTGTGTTCATAGCAATGAGTAAGCACCGATCCTATTCTCAGAAATATGTCTTCAGTAAGAAAACTTCTAGTTTCGCAATTTGGACAGGAAAAGCTAGCACCGGGTGTCTGTCTTCCCCAGTTGATTTTACAGTAACAGCGCCCTCATTTGTCCAGAAAACCTCAGACACTATTTCAATGTTTTTTGAAGTGGGAACTTTTCAATACGGAAGTGTATTTAGAGCATGGTATGAAATATTTTAAATCGTACGTACAACTTACTATTTCGTATGTACGAATTACTACAGATTAGTAATCCTTAAGTTGCATTGTGTGACTACACCTCAGTTCGTTGGGCTCCAAGGAGGACCATGTACAAGAGAGGGTGTGGTTTTCCTTGTGTCAGTGGCTGCTTTTGTGGATGCACCCCTATAAGTAAATCCCAGTAGACACCAATGATAAATTCTTGTATTTCACAAATTATTTTTAAAATGCTCGCATCTGTCACTCACAGGTGTCCAAGCTGGTCAGAAATATGACGTTTGACACGTCTTCTTTCACTTTCCTTTCAATTTTTAGTGGGTTGACTGATGATTTTTTTAGAAATTCTCACCAAAAGTAGACAACCTCTAAAGTGAAGAAAATTTCCCGGTCTAGGAAAGTAGCCATTTTGAAAATGCATCCCTGTGTAAAACGGCTAGATAGAGCCATTTTCGGACCCGATTGCATCCAAATTGCTTAATATTGGAAGCCCTAAGTCCAGGCCAAAGGTTCATATTCCATTCCTCAATTCCATGGCTCTGAGGACTCTTGAATGTAGAATATTTTGAGTGTATAACTTTTATTAATGAGCAAGGCGACGTATTTCTGGACTATTTACAGGAGTGCACCCCAAAGGGGCATCTATAACAAGGATAATCACGCCCTCTCGTCTTCCCCCTTGGGCCCCAGTGAACTGAGGTGTAGTCATGCCACGGACATAGGAACCCCTTAAAGTGTTCTGTAATTTGCATTCTCAGAGGGGAAGTTTTAGAGTGAATAGTATTTGTAGCAGTTTGTGAAAAATTTACTGAGATCACATTTGAAAATGGAAAGTTTTAATTTTCATTTTCAATCAGAATCTTACGGTCCCTGTACCTCCTTCAATGACGACGACGAGTCCCATTAGGCACAGTAAGCAAGCGAGCCACATCACAGGCTGTGTCGACGTCTAAAACAGCCTTAAAGCGCACGGCTAGGTCTATTTTCTCAGTGTCTCCGCGTATTTCCAATGGGGCGAAGTTTATTCCCGGAATCAATCTATAAGAGAGAGCGTCTCTGAATGGGAAAGAGCCATCACTTCTTCTCAAAAAATTGAAATATCCACAAGCTTCTTTCTTTGAATATTTTGATAGTTGGCAAAGTAAGATTGTGTTCACTATGACCACTCATTTTGGGGGCTTCCTAAAGTAAAGAAAAGTTTTACTGAAACATATCCCCATACAATTTTAAACTTAAAGACTTATAGCTTAATCATGTCATCCAGTTTGCGATGTCATCTAACGCAAAGCTTTAACATCGGAGCTGGTTTGTGGACAAATATTAAAGAATTGTTTTCTCCACTCCACTTATGAGTGTTTAGACTTTCCAATACTTATTTTAAGGTGTCCACCATTTGCTTTGGCAAAATTTAGGTTCTTGATTTTGTTATGTTTAATGCTTCTGTGAGACACTTTTCTTGTTACACGTTTACAAAACATCACCTTCACAATGTGCAGTTTAAGATATGTCATGTTAAAAAAAGATTAAATTATTACATCAGAACTTACAATAATTTACTTATCTTTTTCAAACTTGTCAAACATGGATTTTAAATGCTGAAGTTTTCAAAATATCGATTGCTCAAAAAATCTTCCAGTGGGGCTTATGTATCATGCAAAACAGAGCACAAAACCTTACAAATATTTGCCGACCTCACAACGTACAGGTTTCGCACACCCGCTCACAATCACAGGCATTGGACTTCCTACAGAGATTTTATTTTCTGGCCCCCTGGTAGAATCATTTTCCTACGTGTCTGAGGATGCACCCTCGTATTTAGGCCAGAAATATGTCCGCCAAGCTCATGAATAAAAGATATACACGCAAAATATACTATATTAGAGGGTCGTGAGAGCCATGGAACTGAGGAATTGAAGAAATATGAGACTGAACCTCTGGGCCAGACTCAGGGCTTCCAATTCTGAGCAATTTGGATGCAATCGGGTCCGAAAGTGGCACTATTTGAGCCATTATGCAGAGGGATGGTTTTTCAAACTAAAATGGCTACTTTTCTGGAGAGAGACATTTTCTGCATTTTAGGGGTGGTCTGCTTCTGGTGAAAATTTCTCAGAAATTCATTGGTCAACCCCCCGAAAATTGAAAGGAAAATGGAAGAGGACATGTGGAACATCATTTTTCTGTGTAGCCTGCACACCTGTGAGAGTTGTGAGTATTTTTAAAATATTTGAGAAGTGTGGGGATTTATCACTGCTGTCTATGGGAATTTATTTTTAGTGGTGCACCCCTGAGTCATGCAATTCAACATACGGATTTATACTAATTCGTACGTACGAAAAACTAATCCGTCCGTGCGAAATAATTTTTTTCTTACAATATCCTAAATAAACTTTCGTGTTTCAATGAATTCAACCAAATAGGAATGTAAAATTGCTTATACATCGTAGCACCGAGGTGATTAGATGACTTTTAAATAATCATTTTTGGAAAGCCGACGGGGATTCAAAAAGTCAAGTGATGATTGGCTTGTCGGTAGGTGGCGCTTATTACTGTGCACCTGCTGAGCAGTGCACCTGTACCCCCTCCTTCAAGCCCCTGGCGTGGCGCTGATATCGCCAGTCGAAGCTGTTCATGCATTGCCACACATGGAACAGTCATCGGAAAACCCGAACGACACTACTGCTGGCCGGCCCTGCTAGCTAGTAGTGTGCGCACATGCACTCACAGCAGGCCTGGGACGCGCGTTGTAGTTCAAATTATGCTCCCATCCCAATATCATGGACTTGGCACGATATTTAGTCGTTTCCGATGATCTGGTTTGAAGTGACATTGATAGTTTCTGGATGCAGAAGTTAAAGATGTATGACATACTGGGCTGTAGCTTCGTGGCACTAATTCTGTATTGGAACACCCTGAGTGCGGACTTCGCCTACGACGACTCGTAAGTTGTGTAAAATTGTACCTGAGCGCGCTGCGGCACCGAAGGCCGCCGTGATTTGAGCCGATTGTGCGGCGTGGTTGAATAAGACGCTCTTGCTCGCTTTGTCAGTATTTTGCCATGTTTGCTGATTGGGGACGACGAACTCTTGCATACAGATATTAACTGTTTCTGTACTTGGTTACTGCAGTTTGAACTCCTGGGATTACTTGAAGATTTTATTTTTAGTCATTGCACTTTTTCTCGACAATAAACTATTTGTCGAACATGGTTATTCAACAAAAACTCAACTGTCTTGGATAAGTCGGATTCCAGAATTGACAGTTTCTGACAGTGATTGTTAGCAATAGTAATGTTTATGACAGTAGTGTTGTGGTAATACGGTTTCTTCAGACTCTTCTAACAGGGCCCTTGGATCTTTTCTCCAATTTCTTTCATAAATCTCAGGCTTGATTAGTTGGCTGTACTAACAACAGATCAAATCTAAAATTCAAAAAAGGAAGTTATAACGCCCCAATTAGTGGGTCTTCCATTTGTGATCAGTACCTTAACTGTGTTTTCCATCTTTAGTCAAATTTCCAGAGTCATTATTGCACTTGCACTACGTAGTGATACCCTGGTTATTTGAATTACTTGAACAGACAGGACAGGAAACATGAACGTTTTGCCATATCTGCATCAAGCCTAATGTGTTTGTTGCACTGTTCGGAAATTGTACTTTCGAAACCATGTTGACACAAATTACAAATCTGATTGTTTCTTGAACAGATACCATTTGCTTTTAGTTTAACTACAGTGAATAAATTGCCATACGCATCTAGGGCCATTCTCCAGTACTCAACTTCGACTCCGTCTCAGGCTTCGTGTAGGAAACCAGTCCCTGATTGTGGGCCCGAAGCGTTTTTAATTGAAGTACTGTAACGTTTGGCTATCTTACTTGATGTTTTGTGGCACTGTCAGACTTACTATTGCGCTTACAACCTCAAAGTCAGGAAGTAAAAAACAGTTGAAGCCTGAGACAGAGCCCAAGTCGATTATTGGAAAATAGCCAAGCTGAAGAATTAAGGCAGTCTTTCTTAGGCTAGATGTGTGTGGCCATTTATTCACTGTAGTTAAACTAAAGGCAAATGGTATTGCATGATGGACGAAGTAAGTCTCCTGTCAGTGGTCAGTATTCATGGTAAGAAGCTCAGCTGGCTCAATTGCTGTGACCACAGCTTATTAAGAGTTGGTGCATTGTCAATGGTGTTTGTGAAGCCTAACGGTTGGGATTTGGTGCTTGTTTTTGTATAAGTCTGTACGCCCAAAGGGATGACTGTAAGGAATGGATCTATTTATTAATCAGTGTACATGGGACTTGTTTGTCACATTGCTGGCATACTCCAAGAAAAATGAAGACTGGAAGACTGGGATTTAGTGGTGCCCATGTACATGTATCCTAATACCAAATAGTTGTCAGTTAAAAACAAACATATCATTAACAGAAAAATGCATGCAGCTGTGAATTCAAGTTGAAGATGATACTTTGTGTGTTTGCAGGATGATTTGATCAACATCTGCCTTGAAAATCAATGTATGAATTGGCAAAAGAGTTGAGAAATTTGAAGAATCTAGCTGCCATTTTGGAATATTGGCTGTTGAAAAAAAAGGAAGAAAAAAGAGCTTGATGAGAAAGTACATGTATGATCCATTTTAGGTAGCCTTATAAAATGTAAGTACAGTGTACTTCCTTGTCCAATTTACAATAACTAGAGTTTCAGTTGTTGGTCACGGATGTCATGCACCATCCCCAAAAGAAAAGAAATTCCCATTTATTATAGAATATCCACAAATCGGAAAATGCTCAAACTCAAATTGAAATTGTACATGTAACTGCTGGTGTGTGCTGTGCACTTGTCATGAGAGTTTTTCCCAGAATTCCAAAATGAGTAGTTGTTCTTTGAGGCTCACTAATTTACATGTATGTATATGCTGAACAAGTGGGGAAAATTTTAAATGGTAGTTTTCAAGTTGATGTTGGGTTTGTTGTATTTATTGGAAATCGTGGTGCATTGTGCCCTATGTGGCATGCCCAGCACCGCACACCTTCATTGCAAAGCCAATTTTATACTGTGATTTCTTCTCATTTTTTGATCAGTTTACCGGCGGAGAAACATGATAATATATTGCACAGACGGATGTTCAAATGTGCTCAAATGGCATTAAACCTGAGGTTTATTTTCAGGGTCATTTTATTTCTCATTGTATAAATATGGCACTGGTCATTTACATATAGCTAGGGGTATGTTTTGGAGTTTGGCACACTCATTTTCATCCATTCAGTTGTCCATCTGAAGAAAGTAGAGGTCCTTGTGTGGACTGGGTACCCTGTTGTTTTATTTCATCCCAGATGTTTGAATATTGCCAAGAAGTAATTTGGGTCCCCAATTTTTATAATTTCGGATAACCCCTGGTTGAATCCTGTATATGCTGTTTGCAAAAAAATCTGACAGATTTATTTAAACCCTTGGAAAATAAAGATAAGCGAGTCAAATTCTGTGTTGAACATCTGTGTTTTTGAAGCCCATTCGTGTTAGCTGAATCATTTACAGTGAATGGTTTGTGTATGATATATAGGAACTGATTGAAACAGCCATTTTGCTGTGCATGTTTACCCCTGTTGGATGTGTGCGTACTGTTCACCGGCTTCACCGTGTTTACCCTCTGCAAACCACTTCAGTGGGTCTGGCCCAGAAAAGAAGGGGGAGAATACACCCCCATTCAGCCGGGACAATCAGGCTGTGAAACCCCGCGGTCAGCTTAGCAGTGTGGGAGGTGGTACTCAAGCCTGTTACTGGGAATTCCTATTTTACTCCTTTTTGCTGGCCATGGGCAGGCCGGCCGACACACTGGACAGACAGCATGCCCCTCGTGGCCTGGCTGTTCGGAACACAATGGGTCCGGTTCGGTGTCCAGCAGTCGATTAAACAGCTCCTGTATTATTCCATCCACCTGTTCACACCCGCGGTGTACATTTTCTGCACCCAGACCTTTGATTTTTGTAACTTTCAGTGAATGCTTTTTTGTTTCTCATAAGAGTATAGCTTGCCGTACCCCGGCACAGGTTTCTTTACCAACCCTTGCTCTTAAAATGTAAAGACCAAACAAATAAAAAGCTCTGTTTAATTAATGTTATTAAGAAATTTCACAGAGCTAAACATGCTCTTCCGTCAAAATCAGAACTATAAAAAGACAAAACAGATAGGTCACTTGATGTCCCAATCAATCATTTTTTCTCTTATAACTGACCAAAGCTTCAGTTGCTCCATGTTTTTTTTAAATGCAGGGAGGGTGCAGTGTAGCAGTACATTACATGTACAACTTTGCAAATGTTTTATCAGGTAGCATATTGTTAGGTCAAGTTGGTGATTCATCATACATTAACCCCCACACCAATTGCTCTCATGGTCAATTTTAATTGTTTTTACAAGAATTATTTATAATGTTTTTGTCTGAGCAGTGGAAAAGAAGGAAATATAATCAAGGAAAGCAGCCTTCCTCTTTGCTGGAGATTTATTGCCCCAGCATCCCTTGTGTGGTTCAGAGTATAATAAACAAAGATCCACAATAGCTTTAAGAGTCATGTTACCTGTGGTACAGTGTAAGTTATGTCTGGCTGGTTTCTCGACCCAGTTAAATAACACTTGTTGCTCAACTTCAGAATTGGTCACATTGTATGAATGCCTCATTCTCGTTATACTGTAGCATTGAGCCGGCAATCCTCTACAACAAAAAGTGGATCTATCATACCGTATCAGAATAAAATCAATTTTGCTTTAGAAATTAATGAATACAATTTCTAATGCAAACAAAACTGTAGGTACCAGTAAATTGTATTGTCTTGGGAGACTAAAAATATCGAGGTCATCAGAACAACAAAGTTTTCAGTGAATGGGTCGTTCAGGTTTTTTAATTCTAATCAGTACTTGTCATGTAACCACGATTGAAAGATTCTCTTCCATCTGAGGCAGTTAGACGAGTGGCAGTCCAGGAATTTTGTTCCTTTATAATATTCTTCATTTCATTCCTGTGTTCCTGCATGAAATGGGTTTTTTTATTTATGATTAATTTGGTAAACATTTGAAGGTTATTTTTGAGGGTAAATTTACTTCATTTAATTCCTGTTTTGGTATGAAGTTGTTCTTTTGATTGATAATAATTGAACTTGGTGATCCTTACTTGTGCATCCAGGTTATTTTGGAAGATGGTTTTTGCCAAGTTGAACAGCAACAAAGTAGCATCTGATGAAGTAAAGATATTTCAAGGAACATGTAATTTCAAAAATACATAAAAAAATAAAAGAATGTGGATACGAAGAATGTGGATACGAGTAGGTCCCTTGTGTTCAGCATTCAACTTTTCCAAATACATTTACATGTACATGTGTACATTGTACATGTTCAATTTTACGAGTGTTAAGTTAAAAAAATGTGGTCTTTTTAAGCATTAGAAATGAAAAATGCGTCTGAAATCGTGTCTCCTGAAATATTCATTGGGAGAGTGTTATGTGACAGAACACACTGACAATCCCAAACCAACCAACAGACTTTATAGCCATTTTGTCAAGCTTGTAGTAGATGAGCCCTGGTGCATTTTTGCATGTTTTACTGTGAATGAGAGATACTGGTATTTCTCTACACATTATTCCCTCTTTGTGATAATATGAATAAACAAGACGCATATGAGATATGAATTGGCAGTCCCAGCTAAAAACCGGTTCAAATTACCTACATGTATGCTCGTATTCTTCTCATGCCAGAAAAGTTAAAATCCAGGCTGCTCTTTTGGGGTCAGGTGACCCTCTTCATTTCCTGAAAGAATAGACACATGAGATTTAGATGAAGGCTGAGATTCAAACCATTGCTCAAGTTGTTTGGCAGATGTACTGGTTTTTGTGATGTGGCTGGTATTGGGCCTAATAAGTGGCACTCTTGTGGGATTTGGTGGAGGAGGGATTTGCTGCAGATCAGATTAACAGTGTCATCAGTCATTTGGATGGCTTCTTCACCTCAGCTACCAGAAAGTCACAAGGGTTAGACCATAGAGGTTTAGACCAAAGGCGCTAGGCACAGATGGCCAGTCCATTAGACAAGGGGTGACTACATGCCATACAGAAACATTAGACATTACATGTAGATTCTGGCATTCACAGCCCTAGTGCAAGACAGCTTCGTGGTTAATAGTGGCATCAAGTTTGTGGTCTGATTAGGCCTTCATTAGGCGTGAAAAGGCAGGATTCCTTCAAATGCCGAGAATATTTTAGAAAAGAACCAATGGGAACTGATATTAACAACTGTGATGCAGTGTGGGTTAAAAACTGAACACAAAAGCTGCACGCATTGAGCGGTCAGATGACTTGCATTTGAAAACATCTCATCCTCTGTAAAGCAGTTATGTAATTACCTGTGTGGAAAATCATAACACAGGATGATGTTTTAGGCCAATTCTTTAGTCCTTCAAACACCATAATTTCATTGCTGGGAGAAGCACAGTGGTAGAGTACATTATCTGCACTCTTTCATAGTACGAGCGCAATGGTTCTGTTTTGTTCTCGACTGGCTATGGTCGACATGTTTGCCACCAGTAGCTTCGATGACATGAAGTGCGCCATGCTTCCTAGTGATGTATCGGTCTACAAGGGCAGTGATGGGAAACGCTCCCTGATTGGTCACAGTTGGGCCAGTTAGGTCAACAAGCGGTGATGTCATTCCTTTAATCAAGGATACATCCGTATTGTAAATATTTATTGCGAAAATGCCTATTCAGTACATTTAAGCAGGGGTTGCACGTGTCCCCAGGTTTAACCCGTGTCTACTGTCCCGTTTATTTATTTTTTTAATTTTGCTTTTTAAATAGTAGATAATCGTCAGTTAAGGAAATTCAGTATAAATTTTGATGGCAGCCGACTCCTCCCAGCTGGTTTGAAGCATCTTTTGAACAACTTACAATGACATTGTTCACGAGCATCACCTGATAGTGTGATCACAGCTCTGGAACATCTGACCTGAACCTCAACTTTGCGACTGATACGAATGTGGCATTTCTCTTCATTTTTAAAGTACAGACCATTCAAGCACTGATGCATGGTAATGCAGAAATTGCTTAGGACTTAAGAAGATTAGAGACCTCCCACCTACAGGTACAGAATCTGAACACAAAGAAGATTAACTTCTATCTGTCAGAGTCAATTTTCCCCCAAAATAATCTGTGGTGTGGACAAAGCTATGAGGTTGAAAATTGATGAATTGAAATCATAAGAAAATGTAAGTGTACACAGATAAAAGGGCAGTGCTTTGTTTGTGTGTTACTGTCTTGTTCCTGTATGTTCAGTATTAAAGGTAACATAGTTTTTGTTTTATCGTTCGTAATTCATTTTTCGCTTACAGATTTTTGTAAAATTCAGTGTAGTAGGATTTCACAATCTTTTGTGTTCTAGTTGAATGACATTCTGAGAATTAAAATCACTTGAGATTTACTTTTGAAATTCAATATAATGGAATAACAAAAGACAAAGTTCAATTTGTGACATGGGGGGGGCGGGATGCCTCATATACATGTAGCCGGCGTCTAGCCTCCCACCTCGCTTATCCTAGGATTAGGAGGCTTTTGAAGAACGCAGATTTAACAGCATTTGCGATGTAGCCCCAGTACAATGCAACAGCTTCGTTGGAACGGCTGACCTGAGTTTCACCTCGTGAGGTTGAAAACTGAGGCAGCTGCACTTGTGACTGCCGCGCAAGAACATCCCGAAAGATGCACGTAAACCTTTTGTCTCTCTTTTTTGATGTCAGAGGCAATCTGTTTCTATTCAGTAACTTTTCAATAATTGTTTTAGGTTGCATTTGAAAGAGTAAACCATGTTTTTTCTGTGCATGTGCCATTTTTACTTAGTTTGGTAGGATGATGATCGTGGACATTACACGTACATGTATGAGGGTGGAAAATGTTGAGGATTCCTTTCCATTCGTTTGCACTACATTCCTGGTTCCAAATTACATTGTACCACATTCAAGGTATCTCTGGCACTGCATAATTCATGGGGGTTTTATGCACTTATCGTGAATGACATTACAGCAGACTTGCTTTTGTTTTAAAAAAGAAAGGGGCAACAGTAAATGAAGTAGACAATAGATTACAGGGAAGGGAATGTTGCAACTTTTGTCATGCCTTATTGATAAGTTTAACACTTATTGGTGCAAATACCTTCATGAATATGTTGATAACATGGACATGTATCTCATGTGAATATGCATCCAACAATGCAAATCGTCCCTTTCACAATAGCAGGCCTATCCTTGCAAACTTCTTAGTGAAAAGAGCAACATATTAAATTTCTTCCCTTGTGATACTTACTTTGCTCTCAAGGATCATCTTTCCATACAGGGAAATTTCATCTGAATCATAGGATTGAAACCCCCAATATTGGACAGAGAATGACAGATTGGTTAACAAATGAAGTTTTCATTCAATATGTATCGTAAATGCTGCTGAGAGTACAATTTTTTTTGTTTGATTTGTTGAAGTATTGATTATTTTGTCTAGATGTCAGTTTACTTGTACAGTTAGTGCATGTACATGTTTATATTCATGTTTATGTACATGTACACTACCACTAGAACTGTGGGGTTCGTCGTCGTCCGCAGCACTCCCACCCATGGGGGTACATGTACACTTGGTCCAACAGCCTTTTCCCCCCACTCTGGATATCTGATGTGGATTCTGATCACTGGTAATTCTGTTCACCTGGGGGGGACGAGGGGAGGAGATAGCAAAAGCATATTTTTAAGTTTGCAACGTACATGGACTGCTACAAGGCCTGACTGTCATTCAGCCTCCTGATATTATCTCCACAATCTAGTATCATTTACAGTCAGAGTAAGATGAAATCAGTTGACATCAAACCTTATCTGTACATGCTCGAATCCTTGTGCCAAGAGGCAGTCACATCAATACTTGTAGAGCAAGGACCCAGTTACATGTAGGTGTACATGTTGCAGGGAATTTACATGTCCGTCTGTATTACCCATGCCTCGTTTCCTTCAATTAGTTAGAAGGAAAAAATTGCACTACTAGTTAGAAAAAGCCAGATCTTAGTAGATTTTTTTCCCATTGGGAATGATTTCCTCAAATGGAAACGATTTGTGGTACAATGTTCTCTCAAAGAGATGAATTCTGGACTTGCTGGATAGTAAAACACTAATGGTTTTGGACTTCTAGAAATTCTGAAGTTCCAGTACGCTGTAAGTAGAATCTTTTGCTTGAACCACATTGTACTTGCACATGTGCCTCCTGTGAACCGTGTACACTTCATGCACCTGTACATTTATGCATAAATCCAACACATCTGTACAATTTTTGTTGATCTAGCTGAAAGAATTGGAATGCACTCCACATTTTCCATGATTTTGGGGGGTAAGAAAATGAGAATTGAACAACGAGCACTTGTATGTTAACTTGAGAAATGTGTATGTAAATGTTACTGGTAAATTGTACATTCAGGAAAATTTGTTATTAGTACAGGTGTGCTGTACATGTGCACGTCCCTGTACATTTTATAAACATGTTTACCTGTGTTCAGCCTGTGTGATTCCGCAAACAGACTAATTTTAGCTGCAGGAACGGTTGTGAACTTCCGATAGCTAATTGGATGGTGCATTTTTTTTATTCACCAGTTGACTCTGCATTGTCTACAGTTTAGTTAACATTTGTAAAGTGGGCCCTTAAGCAACCAGTATCCATACATGTAGTAAACACAGAAGTCTGTTGGTTATCTGTGAAGTGTTTGAAAGCATTTTAGGAAAACACAGAAACCAGCAAAGAAAGGAATACAAAGTGTACTTTCCTGTCAGAAATTGATGTTTTGTAACAGAGGTTTTGCAATATTGGGGTATGTTTTGCTGTGGAAAAGTAAACTTCTAAGTGTCAACTTGTGACTGGTTGATCATTCCTCACTAATTTACATACATGTACATGTTTTAACATTGCTAGATATTCTCTCTTGTGTTAAGGAGATCTTGAGCAACATTTCTGAAGCATGTGGGTTTGTGCTTGCATAGTGCAATGCAACATTTGGTCCCTGATTTGGATGGTAAAACGTTTTTTTTTTGCAATAGGAGCAAAATCGTCGCGTGACAGGATTCCCCAGTGGCCTTATTCCCACGTCTCCCTTGCGATGGTTCCCAATGTGAGTTAAGCAGAAAATCTTAATTGGTTTCATGAAAAAAACTGGGACCTCTTGCCACTACCTGCCTGTTGTGCTCAAGGGATTTTCGCTTGACAAACCCCAGCACATTAAAAAAAAACATGTATCTGGAGCCAATTGCTGACGGTCATGTAGGCCAATAAAAACTGCTTCGCGCAGTACCTGTATGATTTTCATTTTTTGCATTGCGTGCAGACACTGTGCATCTGTTGATCATAAATTGTCCCAAACTTCGAAGAGCTGGAGAATTATAGGTGTTGCATCCCTGGGACCAGAATGCTAATACATCAAAATTGTTGTGGCAATGATGCATTTTTCCCTGTTCTGATCTTTTGTCTCCAGAGAGGAAAGTGTTCAAACCATGTACCCAATTAAGATGTCCTCAGAAATGTATGTGTTTTAGTAGATCTGACAGGTGTCCAAATTGTGTCAGTTTTTACGTAAAATGATATATTGTTTTTCACAGTCACAAGCCCGTTAGGGTGGGAGAACATCCATTATTATGCATGTGTAAGTTAGGTCACTCACATAAACCATTGAATAAGTTAAACCTAACACCTTTCCAGAGATCAATGTGAATGGCTTGCCTAGGGAAAAACGCAGGGAATGTACTGGATAAATGGCTGAAATGTATGTACTAATGCATGCACATGTACACAGGTATTCAGGATACCATGTACTGCAACATTTACTGTTACCAATTGTATTGGTACGTAACATACTCAACACTTTCTATAGGGAAGTGCATAAAAACAAAGGAAAATGTACAGAACCAATCTCAGACTGTCAGAATCTGGCAAGCTCGCAGATCATTTGAAAAGTCAATGTGACTCAAACGCTTTCTTAAACAAGATTTTTGATGACTTCAGTCAATTCTTGCATTGGCCTGTGAAGTTCTAAGAAAGTCACAGATTTGTCAGATGGCAGTAGCTTGTCAATGTCATTTGTAGGTTTGCACTACCCTCCCAAGTGGTCAAAGGTGAAAAACCTTGCCAAAAAATGGGAGAGGCCAAGTTTTTCCTGTTCCCGGGTGCTCAGCAAGGGAAAGTTGTCCACTTTTCTGTAAGGGTATGGTTGAACAAGGCAAGACATATCAGTTACACTGGTCGCTTATTTATTTGTGTGCAGGTAAATCATTGTTTCCCCAGGTGGCGTCTGTGGCCTACATACCAAGGGTTTTCCATGCTCAAGATTGGGCATATCATGAGAATTCATATGAATCAGGCTGATTGTTTTTTCATTTTAAACCTGATGAGAATAGCATGCTCATAAAACTGTTCACAGCAAGCACATGTGGTGATTAGGAAAAGTTGAATTTTGCTCTCTTGGTAGACCAAAAATGTTCAGTTTCCAAGATGCATGGCTGCAAAAACAGATTTATTAACAGTGGTTTGGCATGGTATGGCTTCAGTTTCCTCCCTGAGGTGATTTTAATGAGCAGGACTTAATAGTTTTCTGAGATAATAATATACGAGAAATATTTTCCTGCTTTAAAGACATGTACAAGTAGTCTGAGAATAGCGATTTTCAAAATTTTGGGTTGAAAGTGTTTGTTTAAAAAAGCTTTTGTTTCTTTTTTAAGTCAAACTTCTCTTAAAATTAATGAAATTCATTAAGTGAATGCTCATGTTTATTGTACCAGTATTTAAGCCAAAAAAATCTAGGTGCATTTTCATGACCAATCCAGAAATCTCTAGCAAGTAAAAACATTTTTTGGCCCTCTGGCTGCTCTGACTCCCACACTTTGGCTTCACAAGGGTTCAAAACCACACTACAGCCTGTAATCTCCCCCAACCATTTTGAGGAAAATGCTCAAAACTCCTTAATGTTTGTGGAATTTCAGTAATTTCTCAGGAGTTTGCAAATCTCAGATCTATACATTTAGTCCTAAAAGTGCAAAGTGTACAAAAGTGTAACTGCATAGACAGTCATGAAATATATAATATGTGTGGTAATGTGTTCTAAAAAGAGACATCCCTGTTTTTGACCAAAGTTGGATAAATGCAGCAGTTGTGAAGTAGGTGTAGGCTTAGGACCTCTTTTGACAATTTGACCCTCTATAGTCACCATTTCTGGAGCCTGAAAACCTGATTCCAGGGAGGGCCCAGCATACATGTCCATGTACTGTACATGTACATGTGCCGGTATGTCAGTGTACATGTAAAGTGTGCTAAGTCAGGTAGTTCTAGTGAAAAAACAATTCAGTTGAGGTTTTTTTTATTCAATGTGCTTATGGTCATTTTCTGTCAATGCTTTGGCTTTTTAAAGTTAGAACAAATTTTATTAAATGGTGAATAATCTTGTAACAAAGAGTAATTGCAATTGTCCATTAATGAGCTCATGTCGTGAAAGTCATCAGTGGGCTGTGTTGAAGTTTGTCCCTCCCCCGTCTTTTCTTTCAGCTAAGAAAGTTGCAGTTAATTCTGAATAGAATTATGAATCTTTGCAATCTTGGGGAGAGTCTGAAGCAATCCCAGCAGAAGGTTGGAATCAGCCAGTCTTCATGGGCGCGTACATGCACATGCATATCAGTACTTGGTTCATGTACTGATAAATTGGAACAGTGTCATTCATTATGAGCACTGCTGGGTACTGATAGGAAAATAAAAATAGGTTTGCTTCTGAGGAAAAGAGTCCTCGGGTTGGTGACACTCAGATTACTTCACGCATTGTTTGTACATAATTTTTTTGGTTTACAGTTTTGGATATGATAGTGGTTGTCATAGAGAAATATTTGCCTTAAAAATACAATGTTTTGTTCTGCTTACAAGTTAAATGTTGTTCATTCTGGTACATGTAAGCACTGGTACTGTTCAATGTACTCGGGGTTTGCACAGTGTGCATGTGTGTATTGTGTGCATAACTCATCCATTTTGGGCTTTCGTGAATAAATAAATCCCAGACAAAGCTCGTTCACAACAATGCCGTGTTTCACACCAAGTCTCCAAAAGGCAAACACCATTCCCGTCCCCTTTTCTCTAATGGCTAATCTTCGACACGGCTATTGTGAGACATCCATGCTAAGGAATTTTTACCTGGTATTTGTGGGTCCGAGTATGCTGTCTCTTATTATTCTTTCGAGAGCTAGTAGACCAATTTTTTTTTACTAGTCCCCCCTTCCTCAGTGGGTCTGGCAATGTGCCATTACCTATGTAAGTTCTTGAGATTAACCACCAGAAGTGCTAGGGGATTTGAAAATCTGTCCACAGCAGCGATTTATGAAAAGACCTGTCCCATGGTGCTTGGGTATCAGGACGGATTGCACCCCGCCAACGAAATTCAGGGATTGGTCTGTTTGCTCGGGCAGCCTGGTTAAATTTGTTGTTCCAAGCCCCCGCTTGTGTTTGGTTCCACTGGAGGAGTAAGCCAGGAACGCACTGGCTCTCCTTTTGTCCCAGAGTATTTGAACAGTCAACAAGCCAACAGGAGGGGAGGAAAAAAAAAGCAGTCCATGGGAGATGAAATGCAAGGGGGAAAAAATGATCGTTGGTTCGTTACTTGTCCTCTTGCCTTCTCAAGGGAGAGTAAATAAAAAAGCCTTGTTATGGTTACATGTGGCTTGGTGGCCCGCGGTCGCTGATTTTTGACCTTTTTTCAACTTTCCTTGGCATTGTGGCATGGTGCAGGGCTTAAATGTACTTCTGCCTTTGGCTTGAGGTTGTTAAGGCTGAGCGCAAACGTCATCTTTCTCCTCAAACACCTCGATGAAAACTGACATTTGGGGTATCAGTGTTCACCTTCCAAGTTTTTCCTACCCTGTTACCACATTGAGTGTGTCACGCAGCGAAAACCAGCATCATTGAGGGCTTAAGTGAGATTTTGTTTTTGGCATTGTACTCATTGCGGTTTTAAACAGGAACCATAAATCAGGCACTAACTGGATTTAAATTCTTTTGTTAATTTTTAAGATAAAAAAGTTTGACTCTGACCAATAAATTTCCTGCCGTGGATTTTGGGTGTTTGTTTAATCTTCTACCATTAGGAAATGTCAAGACGACCTTGTGATGTCTTACTGAAAGTGAAGGGTCTATGTTCTTTCCTGTCAAGCATTGCCAATTTAAAAAGAATTGATTGGGGTTGTGCTTGGATTTGACAGATGTACTCACATGTACATGTATGGAGTTGAAAATGGTGCAAAAATACTGAGGAGCACATGAACAGTACCCTTGCTTTCAGGGAAGTCGGCTGTTTATTTCAGTGTTTCTTGCTCTGCGCGGTTTCAGAGTTTATGATGATTTAATGATCAAAAAAGAGAGTTTATGTTCAGAGACGCATGTACATGTACATGTACTTGTAGTTTATCTTGACACTGTGAAAACTTTACAAATGTGGACTGACAAGTTCCGCATTCATGTACCCGAAGGCTAACATGCCTTTGTCCAGGTTAAAACAATCTTGTGTGACAGAAATGTGCAGGTGGAGTTGTGTCTGGGGGGTGGGGGCCTCTGGCGGAATTAACTTGTTGAATGTTGTGATAATGACTGACGTTTGAATGGACTTGATGGATGGGAAATTCCGAGTGGGTGTCAGGACAGATGAGATTTGCCACGCTCACATTCTTGCTTGCAGCAGTAAACGTTGTTCGAACATTTTTGTTAAAAATTCTGGCATTGCAAGTGGTGTTGAAAGCAGCTTCTCCCAGTCATAAAATGTGCATAGTTTTGTGCCCCTGCCATTTTCTCTCTTCTTTTTTTCACCAGCTGGCGACATGTTTTGTTGGGGTAAATATTTGCTTTGCCAGAGGACCAACAAACTGGTGGGATGTGGCAGCCAGCTTCCTTCGTTTATAGGGCCATAAAGTTGAGTCACAGGACATTCTTTAACGATGGCCTTTCTGAAATTCTGGTCCTGGCCTTCTCCTCTTGCCCGGTTTTTGTCCTTTTTTTTTTTGTTTATTTGTTGGACAAATGCGAAAATGAATCATTGCAAGTGTATGTGGGTGGTTTCATAAAGCACGCTGTCCATATGGGTATCGTACGCCA